AGCACATCTCCTTTTGTCTGTGGGAGTATGTAGTAGATTCAAGTGCCTGTTAGCTCTGCCTGTGATATTTGGATCAGCAAACCTCAGTTCCTGGTTTCCTATAACACTCCTTATCTTCTCCTGCCCACTGATAACATATGCTCGACAAATCTCTGGGGAATGCATCACCCACAGTGTAAGATGGAGACAGCCCGAGGAAGAGGAGGTTTTGAGTAGAGCATTTGATGGCTTCCTGAGTTCATATGGGTAGAGGTTTTACTTTTATTCCCAAAGAGGGTTTCCATCACCCCATATCACCCATAGCAAGCAGTTACACTGCAACAGCAATAGCAAAGACAGTACACTTCAAAAAGTCAAGGCATACACAACTGAGCATGTGTCCTCAAGCAACTTGCTTCCCTGTTCACTGCACCTGTTATTTTTGTTATGCAAAACATTATGAGTGCACTAAAGCTGTTGTCAAAATATTTACACCAGGCAACAAAAGCATGCTTAGAAAGTTATAGTCAATAAGTCTTGATTGCCTAATGACAGTTATTCTGGTGTGAGGGAATACACAATTTCAATTTCTGGATTACTCAGGTGAAGTACACTCTCTTCAATGAAAAAGAAATCATTAAAGCTATGAGCACAAAGACTTTAAAATCACCAAGTCATCATTGCCAGGCTGTCTGGCCCTGGTTCAGACACATCTATGCTTCTGTAGTGGCATTAAATAAAATGTCAATTTCAAGGTGATTTCAGGTATGTATATTTTGATGAAATCTATTTATAGTGGCATTAAATAAAATGTCAATTTGAAGGTAATTTCAGGTATGTATATTTTGATGAAATCTATTTATAGTGGCATTAAATAAAATGTCAATTTGAAGGTAATTTCAGATAAGTATATTTTGATGAAATCTATTTAGTTGGTAACATTTCTTTTTTATTACAAAATGTTAAAAGTCTATTGCTTCATTATATACATATACTACAGTGGCAAAGAAAATAAAAACTATACAATGCCACCTTTTAAATTTTACTTCCACAGGTATTTGTCCACCCTTAAGCAGGTGTACATACCACACTGCCACAACTTGGAAGATATATATGTGTTTTTGTATGTGTACTAACATACAAACACATATGCATGTGTTTAGATATGTTGCTTGAGTTTTATCAAAGTGAGATCATGATTTACATATGATTCTATAATAATTTCCACCTTCTGTAACAGACATTTTTCTAAATCAAAACCTCCACGCTTAGCTTTTCAATACTGCATATTTGACTGAGTGAATATGTCACTGTTTAACTACTTTCAACATTTAAATCATCTCTGAATCAGAAAGCTATTTAAACTTTATATGGAGATTTTTAAATCTCCAATTTTTCCTATTATAAACAATGTTGCAATGAACCAGTTTATTTTTCATCATAAGTATACCTAGCTTGGGGGTAATTATATTTTTTAACTCCACCTGCTTTAGATGGCAAATGCAAACTTATTTAGTCAACTACCAGACTGTTACAAAGCAGTGGGAACTATTTCTTGGACTGCTACTACTTCAATTGCACTACAAATCATAGACAATCCTCCTTAGAGATCACAGCTACCCAGCTAACCTCCCAATGTGAGCACCGAAAGTCTATTTTATGTGCATTAAGCTTGTGCTTTTAACATTGCTATAACTTGTTTCCACTATATTCTAAAATATTTGCTCTCATAAGGGACATCAAGACATAAGCTTTAAAAAACATACAAATAAAAAAATGCTACATCCATTTCCTCATTAGAACTGTATCCAGGGTGTGGTGGTAAAAGTGGATTTTGACCCATCTAGTTAAGTTCCAGAGAAGTAAATTAGTTGGAAATTTCCAACTATTTAATGAGTGGAGCCTAAGAATTTGAATGCTGTACTTAAAGACAAGAATCATAGATAGACTCCAATCTGCCCCTCCCCTTAGAAAGAAATCAACATTAGAATTACAGTTCTTCATCTGGCTATTTCTGACATAAAAAGAAGGCAATAGGGGGCTGGGAATTAGCTCAGTGGTGCAGCACCTGCCTGGTAAGCATGAGGTCCTGAGTTCAATTGCCGGTATTCCTCCCACCCCCAAAAAAGAAAAAGGTGAAAAAGAAGGTGATAAATTCCTAAAAGCTGACAGGTTGAGAACAACTTATTTATTAGCCTTACCTGTTAGGGAAATATCTGCCATTTCTGACACTACATTCTATGAAGATTACTGTGAGTTTACTGCCAGCCAGATAACATACTACATAACTTTACGAGCAGAGAAACTGAGGCTGCAGTCTAGGTCCAGGAAGGGATGCTACTTGAGGCTTCCTGGGTCTGTCCTGTACCTGTCGTTTCTGCTTGTTATGCCGCTGCCATGACGCAGCAGCACCATGAGTGCAGCCTCCTTTCACAGCCACCGAACAAGCCCATCCTTGTCCCTTCCAGTCCCGAGAATGTGCTATTTTTCATTAAGCAGATTGGCTTTTATCTTGCTAAATGAAAGATAGTCTCTACACTCTTTAAGATATTTTTTCCCACAGTCTCTCTTCTCCGGGGACATTGAAAGATTTTCCCAACATGATGCCCAACTGATCCAATCTTGCCTGCTATTTCCCCTGGAGAGGAAGCCGTGGCTCAGAGATCCAAGCCACGGGTTCTTCTGCATCTGACAATGCTTCAAATCCAAGAATGTTTCAAAAGTATGACTACTGGCACACACCATGGCAGGGTGGTGAGGAGCAAGGGGCTCTGGGGCGGAGTGAGGGTTTGACTAATATCCGGATTCCAGCGGCGGGAGCCAGGCCAGCGCAGGATGTGGGCACTGCACTCGGGCTGGAGATGCCTCTCCGCAGGCTCAGCTCTCCCTGCCAGCACACGGCCTGCGGGGATGGGGATTAGCGAAACCAGAAAACCGGGAGCCACAGCTCCTGGAGAGATCCTGAGAGTGGGAGGAAGACGGTGAGGAGTGGGCTCCTTGCAAAGCTCCTCATGCCCTTCCTTCCTACCCCACTCAGGTGCCTCGGTCCCATGCACGAAGGAGGTAAAGCAGTGAAACTAATCTACCCCTCTCAAAATCCTGAGTGGACTTTTTCAGGAAATGTTTAATTCTAGCTGATTCTGTCCTGCATCTCTGCTTTAGCACTGCTTGCTTTTCAAAGAGAGTAGCGAGCACTCTTCATCTGTGATGTGATTTGCTGTAATATCCTGAATATAAATCTATGGAAAGTGGGAACTGTGTCATCTGTACATTTTTACTCATTAACTCATGGGTGCAAAGATCAGTAAACAAGGAGAACATTTTGCCCATCCCTGATGATGGGTGTAAGAAAATCAGGCACTCAGGTCACCAGATCAAGGTGAGAGGTCAATGAACTCGGGGAAGAAAAGGGCTCCATATCTTCTCTCTGACCTCCTCTCCACCCCTCCTGTCCTGCTATTCTGAGAGCACTCACTTTCTCTCGCCTGTCTCTCCTGTCATGGAAGACCCACAGGAGGCCAAGGTGCTGTCTTCAGAACAAAACTCTGACCCTATGCCTCCTTCCCAGAGTCCCTCTTCTGTGTCCCCACTGCACACTAGGGAATATTGATGCCCTCTGAGACCACGTCCCGGCTCTCTACTACTTGACCCCGACCCACCCGCCTCATCATAGTATGCATGTAGAGCTGTCAGAGCACACCAGGCTGTTTCTCTGCCCCCACACTAACTCCCACAGCTGCCACCACCACCTGGGTGCCAGCTCCTCCCAGCCACCTGGTGGACTTGATAATATTTTCTTTTCCATCACACTGTTCCCACCTTGGGTGGAATAAATTCCCTCCCATGTGTCCTTTGGTTTTCTGTTCCCATTTCTATCACACACCCATAATGTCAGTCTCTCCTATTCAAATGTAGAGACTAGATCTCATCTTCTATCTGCCCTAAGCCAGCACCCAGCTGGAAGTCTGGCTATTACTGAACACATATAAGCTTTAACCTACTGAGGAGGGATTCTGTGCTTCTGGCCAGCGCCAGTGTAGTCCAGGCTATCAGCAATCCCTCTCTGAGGTCTGCCCAGCCCAGGTAGGCCTCTCCATCATTGCTGTCATGCACTCAGTGCTATAGTTGTCACTGCCACCTTCGGCAGTGCTGTGTCCTCTGCCCTGCTTACTGGTGCTGCTGCCTCACACTTGTGCTCTTAATACCTTGGCAAAGCATTTCTCAATCTTGGAAGCTTCAGCTCTATTAAAATCACCCAGATCACTTCCCAAAACACGTGTGAGTGTCCGGGTCCCAGCCCAGACCAATTAACCCGAACTTCTTAAAGACAGCTGAGGTATCATACATAGGTTTTTTAAAGCTCCTTAGAAGATCCCGAAGGGTAGCTCAGGGTGACCACACTGCCTTAGTGGCGCCACGGCTACTGTCCCAGCAGCATGGAAGCAGGATGACCCACACCATGGCCCATGCTAGGCAATGAAACTCCAAAGCATTCCACAGTGAACACTGTGCAGAGTCAAGAAAACTCTGGCTCAGAATTATCCCGTCTTTGGAGCTCCAGGCCAAAGCATTGGGCTGTGTGCTTTGCAGTTCATAACACATACTCCTGATACCTGGCCACAGGCATCTCCACACTTGAAATCACTGTTGACATTCTCCCAGTGAACATGGTATAGTTTTCCAGATATTAATTCTTAAACACAGTTCAGTCTATGAGATTGTTTATTTGTCAGTTGGTATTTTATCCAGCTTCTTTATAAGCTAAAATTTCTAGGGTAATTCACAACAGTTTTATCCTAAACAACAATGAAAGATCCATAGTGCTGTAGATGGTCATAATACACCTTGACTGAATGCTTCCTCTTCCCTTGCTGCCTCTCCAGCCCCACGTCCCCCTGGATCCACACCCTGGGCCCCTTCAATAATGTGCTATGGCTCTGGCTGCTGCTGAGGCTGACCATAAGGGCATTACCCAGCGTACCTTGGAAGATGAACACCAGCTCATGAACTCACCAGAGAATCTGGGGCCTCTATGACATGCTCTCAACCATCCATCCACGGAAGGATCAATTCAGCAATACTTTTGCATTTACACTGTGAACATAAAAATGTTCCAAAGTACAAAATCATTAAGGTTTTAATCTCTCAAAAGTAGTGGAGAAATGAAATTATCCTACTAGCAGCTAGCTTTCTCCAAAGGTTTGAAATGCTATATTCAAAACAATAGACAATAACTGAGCATCTACTATGATCAGAGGATGAGGGTACTGGAAGTAAAACCACTGAAATGTGGGTCTTGCTTCCCAAGGAATCACCATAAAGCTATAGGGATGTGCACATATACAGTAATATTTCACATCATACTATGATAGCAAATATGATTAGCATAAGATTAAAAACAATACTGAACAGAGAAGATGCTTAATTTTGAGTGAAAGAACAGTAGGTTACTATATTACTTATATTTTTATCTAAATATTTTTCTGAGCAAATAAAGATGTTTTAGAATAAATTTTATTTTTCTTGCCTTTGCATATCACTCTCCTTTCCTAATATACACATACAAATATGTATCACATCACAGTCCTCGGTTTCCTTTGAAATAGCATCATCAAGAATTAGCCATATGGGGGCTGGTGGGAGGTTGGGTATTCAAGCAGTTTAAAAATAATTTGTAAAGATACCAGCCTTGGGGCATCTACAGATAATGGCACAGCAATCTGTTCAGAGAAGGAAGTTTATTGCCGGGTCTTACATCCCTCAAACATAACTTCCCAAGGTCCCCAAAATGATATGCCTTCTTTGAACATGAAATAAATTTAAAGTCAGTCTAATGGAGAAATTCATGCTTTGCAAAATGAGCTCTTTGCATACACACTGTTTACTAGTCACTTAAAACTAAAATTATTTTTGTAATAATACTAGGGAATGCCATGAAACAATGCCTTTAAATGTCCACATATAACCAGCATTTATTTATTCATTTGTTTGTTTATTTATTTTTGAGACAGGGTCTCACTATACAGTTCAGACTGGCCTTGAACTCACTTTGTACCCCAAGCTAGCCTTGAGCTCATAGCAATCCTCCTGCTTCAGCCTCCCCAGTGCTGGGATTAAAGGCGTGTGCCACCATTTCCAGCCAATCAGCTCTCTTTTAGCCAGTGTTCTGGCTTAGAAGAAAGAGTTGTGTCATCTAGCTGCACACTTACATTTTTACTTCTATTTTAACTGTAGCAAGAGATAGCCTCCCTGTCTTGCACATTCAGATGATCAGCATAGCACAGCGGCAAAGTGCAAAGTGCACAGGGTCTGTGGCATATTTGTCTCAATTTGTCGAAACCCTTAAAACTCAAGTTATTTAATAACCAAGAAAATATAAAGATCAGCTCTTCTATTACAGGACTAAGGCAGGAACAAATAATGAGGGTGAGAGATAAAATAGTGTCTATTCATCAGTGTATCTCCATCAGAAAACCTGACTACAGCACCAGGTGCTTTTGCTCTGAGTGGACTGTCTTCTTACAAAGCTATCTTGTACTCACGTTAACCTCAGCAGAGTATGAGCTTTTTAACATTTATATAATAGCAAGGATTTAATTTAAGAAGTGCTCTTGTCAAACAATAATGATTCTGGGGACATTCACCTAGTTTGTAGAACATCTAGCTAGGGATTCTTCTTTCTCCATCTCCCTTCTGTGGTTATGATTCTTTTGTTTATTAGTATGTGTGTTGTAAAGTCTACAATATTATCTAGAAAGAAATATTAAAACTATCTGCTGATTTTTTCCTCAGGACAAAGGTAACTAAGAATTGCCTAGTTGCTTTGCTTCCTCAATAAAATTACAAATGGCTCTTAAGGGTTATGGAAGGTTGAATTAATTTTGTTAATCACTATACGCTTTCTGTATTTGATGGAACATGTGAATGAGGATAGACGTAAAAAGGACCAAGATGTGATATGCATACATACCAGTTTCCCACAATGAATACATTTAGTATGTATCACAAACACATACTAATAAAAAAAGAAAATAATAATGAACTATTTCTCTGCTGCTTCCTAGTACCTGGCCAAAGAATCATAATGTCCAGCTGGCAGAAATCATAGCTGTTAGAAAATCAGGCTGATTGTTACCAAAAAAGGTACATGGAATTCAGGTTAATACACCAGGCGCTCAGAGACTTTGCCCTTACAAAATATCTTTCCTCATCAAGTCTTCCCAGAAGTGGGTGACTGGAGAAGGATTCTACTTCTAGCTCCAACTCGGCCATAAGGATAATGAGAAAGAAACAGAAAAATAAAAGATTATGCTTTTGAGACAGGACTGCCTTCCACCTAGCTGTGCAGTTGACTTTGTTTAAAATAGGTTTATATTCAAATATTTAGCTTTGTATTGTTTTTTTATTCATTCTAGAGATGGTAAATAAATAAATAAAATAAGGAGGGAGGGAGAAAAGTAAAGACTATTAGAAAAATATAATTTTAAAGTCAGGAGAATGATTTTGAATGTTTTCATTTATCAGATGGTGTAAAAAACAGGGAACTAATCCATACACTACTAGAAAGCTTTTGATATATATTTGGAACATCCACATATTTGGAAAAAAAAGAACTTGCGGATTTCATAACAAACCTGCCTTGTTAGAACCAGCATATTTGCTTTGTATTGACTTCAAGACACAATAAAGCCAAACTCTTAGGGACTTGCATTCATGGTATAGCAAATATGGAGCCTTACATATAATCAGCATTAGGAATATATTAGCAAACATTACCAGAGCCTGCACATTTCTCAATTTTAAATAATATATGAATTTAAAGTTAATACACTTTAATTTTATAAAAGCTTAATACAAATAAGCTCAAGTTGATGTCAAAACTACTCTCTGATTATAATTGCTTCCCATTGGCAAAGATGGACTACTTTCTGACATAGGGTCCAGAAGTGCCTTGTGATTTGAACTAGGGCCCTTTCAAATACACTTAGAAAACACAAGGATCTGTCAGGATATGGAACTGATGACCCAGGTTCTTCAACTGAAATCCCACACCCCTGGCCAACAGATGTCACAGAAGTTAGTGGTGGTCCCCGAGAAGGTTGTGTTGGGTGAGATTCAGAGGAAACACACAAGTAGAGAGGACAAACATATTAAGGTAATAGTCAAAAACTATGGTAGAGCCCAGGGAGAAAAGTGGCTCATTCAGTATATTTCTCTTCCCTCACCCTCACGCAGTCTGATATAGTAGCTAATGTCGTTTTTATTTGCTTGATATAAAATAAATCCTCCACTTCAGTGAATATGTTCAAAGGTTCTCATTCTTTTACCTACTAGGCATGTGTATTTGGGGTGAGGGAGCAATTATGACTAAAAAATGATTTCCCATTTAATTTAAATCCCCCAAATATTTTCTTAAGTAACAAATTCTAAACGCCTTTGTACAAGGTATACTTTCTTGAAAACAAACTTAAAATTGAATAATTTAAAAATCCCAACACCATCAATTGCACTTTCTGTCCATGGATTTCCAGGATTATATTTATGTATTTATTGGCATCACAATGTCTCTCTTCAATGGAATATCACGGAAATCTAACATAGAGTTATACAGAGGTGAATAATACCTAGTTCCTGACCTTGGGAAGTAGCCCATCTCATGCAAGGTGGAGACATACAGCGAATAGTCATCCCCAAGGATCTGTGAGAGATGAGCTCCAGGACCCCTGGAGATATGAAAATCCACAAGGTTTAGTGTATGCATATTACCTACACATATCCTCCTGTATACTTTAGTTTCAATCATTTCTAGATGATGTGTAATTCATAATACAATATAGATGTGATAGAAATACTTGTATTGTTGTACTAAGGAATGATGACAGAAAAAACCAAATCAGTACCTATTCAATATAGACACACTTTTAAAACATCTTTACTTACTGATTTTAAAATATCTGCATTTGGTTGAATCCATCGATGTGGATTTGAGGATACAAAGGCCCGACTGTAACGGTAAATGTTGTGTCTTGTGCAGAAATAAACGATGAACATGAAGCATAGATCAGTGAGGGGACCTGGGGATGGAGAGAGAACTTTAAAGGAAGCACTCTAGAGGAAGAGACACAAACTGATCTTCAAAAGATGAGCTTATCTTAAACAAAAAAGACTAAAATCCTTACCCAACTTTCATGGTCCTCTAGGTGCGAACTTTGTCTCCCTCACCAGCTGCCTCTCCTTTCACTCCAGCACATTGGCACTGAGAACTTTTCAACTCACCCCCCTTCCTTCCTCTGGGATTTGGGTGCTCTTTCCTGTCCCTGGACCAACCTGCTAATCCATGCCCTCATGGAAATCTCAGCTTACACATTACTTTCTCAAGAAAGCATCCATTGATCTTTTGTATTCTCCCTAGCATATACCACTTCACATTTACTGCATTCGTCACTTTTTAGTTTATAATGAATCATATACTTGGTTATGCTCATTGTTTCCCTCATTTAAAAGATGTTCCAAATCAATTTACTCATTGCCTTTCAACGTTTCACATAGAGATTTGAGACTTATATATCTAAAATTTTTTTAGACAATATCTTATCTTCACTTTGGTCCTAACTCAACTAATCAGTTTAACTATTGTGACCAGCAATAGGAAACACAGCACAGGCTCCAGAGGGGACTTAGAGGGATCCAGGGAAACCTGTGTCTTCACCACCTCTGCCGCTGTCTGCCTTCTCCCTTCCCTCCTCACTGTGCTGCCAGAGCAGCCCTTCCCATCTCTGCCCAGGAAAGAGCTAAAGCTGTGGAGCTAGGACCTTGTCCAAGGTGTGAACATGACTGATTTCACTGCTCTCTCTGATCCTAAATTTATCACTTCATCCTTCCCTTTCTCAATGGCAGGGCCTTTTCATCCAAACATTTCCTGCATTAGACTTTACCTGAGTTTATTATGTCTAAGTACAAAGAAAGACAGAGAATAATATTTGAACCTGGTAATTAATTCATTACACTATATTTTCAAACATTTCAAGTATTCGTTCCCCAAAACCATCTAAAGAAGTTCTAGTATTTGTCCCTTACAGGCATCTTGCTCAGGAACTTAAATCCCAGGTAAAGTCATCAGCTTGTCTCACAATATGTGTTTTCTCTATGTTCTCATAGCCTCATCCATGGTCCTGGAAGCAATTTCAGGAATCATTTAAAACTAGAGATACCCCAAAGATGTACTCTATTTTCTTAAGTAAAAGAAACCTGGCTTACCTTTTGAGCCTTACAGATAATCACCATGTACCAAAGTGAAAATAATTTTCATGTTTCACCCAGTGGATAAAGAAGCCCTGGAATGCTCTAATATCCTGAGCAAGCACACCCCAGAGTCCAGGAATCACTTTGCAATTGATGGGCATTTTCTCATCTTATCTACTCCAAGTCCATTGAAATACTGGGCACAACACTACAGCTGCTGCATCTTACTCTATATTTCCTCTGTCTGTTCTCTCTCTCTCTCTCTCTCTTTCTCTCTCTCTCTCTCTCTCTCTCTCTCTCTTTCCTTTCCTCATTTCTCAAATGTTTTTAGAGTCATTTTTTATTTTCCCAGATACTCAATAATTATCATAACATACCCATGACTGAAAAGGTTCCTGGCCAGTGCTGAACAGAGAGTCTGAAACAGAGTTCCTCCCAGAATTCTATGCAATGCTCAAGTCAAGGAGGTAACCACAGTGATGATTTGGAACAACAAAACAACCACACATAAATAGGCTTAAGTAACAAAGTTATATAACTTGTATTGTGGGTCTAGAGGTGAAGCTCTACTTAGATTAAGAGATGAAGGTTCAAGGTTCATGTTACCTAACAGCACATCCCTTAGGTACAAAATACCAGTGATTTACTTCACTTGTACAGTGACATTTAATGTTCTTAGCACAAATTTGCATAAAAGTTTGCTAATTCTAAGGATGAAGCCAATCAGCAGCAGAGAATGCTGTGCCTGAAACTCACCCCACCTGCTCTTGCCATTCTATTTTCTAATATGCTCTGACTTTGGAGGAACAGCTCATCATCTCAAAGTCTCCTGAACTTTGACTTCGTTCCTCTGATGCAGCCAGTTCCAGTGGCCCAGATCATGCCAGCTCAGCCTTTCCTTGAGTTCTGTTCCACTTGATCTTTGGCTAACAGCAAGGAGTTCAGGCTGTTTATTGAGATTGTGTTTATAACTCATGCAAAACCAGAGCAGAATTCTCAGACAGTAGCACCCTCACCATGACTCTGCGTGTGAAGAAATGTGACACAAATTTTCCAGACTAGCCAGGTGAGACAGCCTCTTCTTATCCACCCACATCTGCACACTATCCTGTTATGGTTTTTCCTGTCCTTCAAGACTGATTTTGCGGGGCTGGGGATTTAGCTCAGCGGCAAAAGCGCTTGCCTGGCAAGCGCAAGGTCGTGAGTTCGGTTCCTGGTACCAAAAAGACTGATTTTGCTCTATATTTTATTTTGTTTCTCCAAGAGAAAGCTTATGACACTATACAGGTTGCCTCACAAACTTTCTTCTCTCTATATCTCCAGCACAGGCCATAGTATGGTCAAAAACAAAGTAAGTAATGAAGGGAAGAACCCATCAGGGACATAGAAGGCCCTGGGCGGCTTTGTCTATTCCTTTAGTTGCTTTCTCATCAGCTCTTGCGTCCTCTCCCCAACAAGAAATAAGAAAGGATCTAAACAAGGAAAATCAAATTTAATAATTAAAGAATTCATTATTTGTGTATAATTTTTGAGGTAGAAGAAATCTCTTAATCACCCAGTGCATATATTTTTTTTTGTGGCATCCAGAAACACATATTGATATTTTTGCAAAATAAGCTCAATACCTAATCAAAAAGATAGTCACCTCTGGATGAGGGCCTGATTGTGATGAAAATAAGCAGAAGATATTGTGTAACTCAAGAGATAAATGGAGGGCAAGGCTTTGAACTGCTTTTCTAAATGAAAGGTAAATATGAACTCATCCACCCAACTTCCATTGCCTACTGGACACTCAGAGCTTATGCAGTAGAGAAGGTTGTAGCTTTCAATAAAATTTAGGCCATGAAGATCTGTAATATGATTTACTTGAATTAAACTCAAATCATTCAGGACTAAGTAGCCCTCATCAAGATCAAATTTAAGACCTTGCAGCATTATACCCACAAACTCAATGATTGACAGTCCAGACCTGAGAAGGGGCCTTACAGGAGACCACAAGTAAATTACTCAAAAGGAGGAAAAAAATACCAAACTGATTCTTGCATCACAAGTATTGCACTTCTCTCTTCATTTCTGGAGTTTTCAAAATCAGTGTGCAATGAAAGATCAATGATATTGGTGAAGAAGTTTTCCCAGTTTTCTTCTTTCTTTAGGGAAATTGCCTTTTCTCAGATTCATAGACTCAGCATGTGAAGAGCCATTAACAGCCACCAAGCCCTAGCCCTAGACTAAGGCACAAATTACCTCTTTGTCACATTCAAAAAGCTGCGCTACTCTTAGCTAAGCCATCATAGCAACAAAACCCAAACTGCATCACAACATTGTTCATTCCATTTTGGGGCAAAATGAGGAAGGTAGAAACCCTTAGCCTTGAAAAGATTGCTTTTCAGTCAGCCTGTAATTCAAAATTTAAAACTATCTAATTGTACAATAGGGAAACAAAAGTAAAATTCTAAATTTTCTCATAATAAAAATTTGACATTTTCTTCTTCTAAATTTCAAATGTCAAGTTTTTAAATTTCATCTTGGACTTCAGCACCCTTGTTTTGCTAGTGGGGAATCCATCTTGGCTATTTTAAGTCTTGCATTCTTCAGAATAAACACTCTCTTCTTTTCACCATTCCTCAAATTAATAGTTTCCAGATTTTCACTTTTACTTGTAGTTCATCATTTTTTTTGCTTTCCACTTTCCATATGTTCAGCTCAGCTAGAACTCAAATACTGACCACCTTGCTCTGGAGATGATCTTGCAATAAACACCCTCTCCAACTCTTGGTGAACCATTATAGTAGTAACTCTATGAGTTTAAAATTTACTAAAGCCCCTAACTGAATATATATATATATATATATATATATATATGTATATACACCTATACCCTTCCACTTTATGACACTGTTTTGCAAATGAGGCAAACATCCTCTCTTTGGATGGACACAGCCCCTATTCTTGCCCTCAGCCAGGTAGCTGAGTATAGGATATAACCTGCTTCAGTCTATCTGTTGGACTTGAAATTGCCTACCTCCCATGCTTGTGTTGGTAAATTTGTGGAACTAAAGGCGGTCTTTATCTCTCTCCCTTTTACTTTTTTATCTTGTTAGGTTTGGCTCATTGTTCCATCCTGCCTAGCTATTTTGGGCTCCAACATATCTGCCCTCCCACCCAGCTGCAGAATCATTAAGACATCACGAGGTGCCTAATCTGCCAAGTGGCCCTATCAAGAGGAAGTGAGGTCTGGCATTGGAGACTTTATTCATCTCACTCTGACTTAAATGATCGCCTCTTTCCTTTCTACCAGCTCACAATGAAAACCTATTCCAAGGTTTTTTTCAGTGTCAATACCGAATTTTCCATTGTGCAGTCTGAGTAGTGTAAACTTCTTCCCTTTTCTGAAAACTAGTATCTTTTCTGACCCTGGTCCAGCCTCAGGACCCATCTCCAGACTCCACAATTTCTCCACAATCACTGACAACCATTTTCAGTTGAAATCACAGTAAGGCAAGGACAGAGGTCTCATGAAATTTTGTTTGATGTAGCTGAACTGGAGATTTTTACAGACAAAAGAGTAATTACTATGATACAGGGTTTGATATTTTTGCTATGGTGTAGAAGTTCCTTTATTCACCTTTTTCAGAAAAGGCAAACTATTACTTTCGTATTTAATGTGGGATTTTTAAAAATTCAACAATAAAATTCCAGCAACTACAATAACTGACTTTCAGAAAAATACACAATTTTAAAATCCCTTTTAATTTTGCCAGATGATTTTTTTCTCTCATTTGAAACCCCAAGCTGCTAAAGTAGGTAACTGATATCCCATCTTGTATATGTTAATATTTCAGTATTGAAATCTATTTTATTTGTAATCACACAATCATGGAGCTGTAATTATGTAACTTGATCATCAGTGAATTATGTCTAACCTATATTTAACTGTTATCAGACAGTATAGACTATGCTGAGGTCTTCAGATTGAAGTGATATCTCTAAATGCAAAAGCTAGTGTCAACTTAGCATTGCTTTTAGTTGGCACAGAGAACACTGTGGAGTTACATTTTTTCTGTCATATATGAGCTCTTTTAGATTAAGTATCATCACCGTGTTTTATAACCAGACTCAGAGGACCCTTCATATAGCAAAATGATTCACAAAGAAGCTTCAGTTTTTAGTACCAGCTTTCCCCAAAGTGCCTGAATTTCTAGCAGCAGCAGTGATCACAGTGTCAGATCAGAAGCACGGTGCCTGATTCACTGACTACCTTGTAAAGGCCAACAACTAAAGAAGTTTTTGCCTTTATAAGGATATCATAAGCAGTCTTCCACTTGACAGGAAGTCAGTGCATGCAAATACTATTTTAAAGTCTTAGGCTATTTAATTGTCCTCCGGTCTTTATTCTTTATGTTTTCAGGTGTCAGCGTCTGCATCTATTGTTCAAGCATAATAGAAACGAATCCGGAGGCAGGAAGTCCAGTACCCACTCACAGGCACCTGCTACATTTAAATCAGAAAGACTACTTGCAAGACAGTGCATGGATGTAGAAAACATCAGTAAGTGCAGCCGCTGGCCCTGCCTTACTAATGCAAAAGAGGATTAAAATTCCACCTGTTGCCTCTAGTACCTTAGGTGACTCTGGAAGCAGAGGAAGAAATGGAAAAGGGAAAAAAAAAAAAAAAGAACACGTAGGTAGTAAGAAACATGACACATCCTTAGGCGAAAAAAATACAAGTAAAGAAAGACAGACTTCTAGGAAATAGCCAGGGAACTATTATTTTCCTGCCTAAAATAACAGATTCCTTCTTACTACAACAATTTGTGTAGAGAAGCATTTCTAACAGAAGGAAAAATGTAGATGATTCACCCTTTGAAATGAACAAGGAAACTGGACTTGAATTATTGGACTTGAAGACACAGTTATCTATGATTCTAATTAAAGCCATTTGGCTGTTTTGGGTACTGGTATTTTCTCCTAACATACATAACCCATTCTGGTTAGGAAATTGGTAAGTAACAGATGGCAATGTGCTTCTTCTACTCCTGCTCAGGACCCTGTCACCTAGATATCAGAGGGTAACATACCATTTTTATTGGCTATCCAGTATTCATCAGGTCCTGCTGCTCTGTCTGCTCCATATGGTGTGATCCAATAGACACTTCACTGGACCCTGAAGGACCAGTCTCTCTCTCTTTCTCTCTCTCTCTCTGAAAGTCAAAAACAATTATTATAAACTCCTAGTTCCTCCAGTTCAGGAGGTTTCAAAACAGTCAACTGGCACCATTATTCCCAGGCTTACAATAAGTAGAAGGGCACAGTAGACCAAAGCTGTTCACCTCATAGCAACTGGGGCTGGGGAGAGACAGAGAGAAAGAAGGCATGGTCCCAATATACCTGTCAATGTCAGGTGGCCAGTGACCTATTTCCTTCAGGGAAGCCCCATCTTCTAAAGTGTCTGTCACCAGCTGGTAGCACTACCAAGCCTTCCACATGTACGAATATCTCAGATTCAAACCATAATAAAGCATAAATTCAACCTCATTGAAATGAAGAAATTGAAACTAGGTTTATCAAGAGGCACCTTATGTTCTGAAACCCTTTGTCATTCTTATTGTTTTTGCTTTGTTTTGTTTTTGTCTATGTTGTTGACATTTTGCTATTGTTCTTTTTCTAATTCTCTTTAAAGTAAAAAAAAAAATAAAAATAGTTTAAAAGAAAAAAAAGAGGCCCCTTAAATAGAATGGGAAGACAAATTACCAACTGAAAAAAAAAGTTCACCAAAAACTCATTTCAAAATACCCAAAATAAATTTATTTATTTATTTTTTATTTAATTTTAAACATTTTGATAACTTGATGGGGAAAATAGACATCAAATTGATTTCATCTGCATTTCTTTTATTATTAGAGACTGACCTCAAAATGTTTATTAGTCATTAGCACATTTCCTATTGTCTATTAATTGTTTGCTATCTTTACTTAATATTTTGGCATTTTCATATTTTTCTTGTTGATTTATAAAAGCTTTTTGGTATAATGATAGTAACAGCGTGTTATACATGCTGCCAATATTATTTAATCATTTTTTGAAATAAAAAAATCAACTGGTTTTTGTAGACATATGCATTTTCCACATGTTCTTTACATTGTCAAATGTAGCAATCTTGAATTTTTCTTCTTAAAAAGCGTATTTTGATAAAAAGGTCCAATTAGTAATCATATATTTATTTTTAGTTACTAATTTCACTTTAATGTACAATTATTTTATTCACATTGATCCATGTTGATCTATGATAGTAAATAAGAACTTAATATGGTTTTATTCAAATAGTTATTGACTTGTTTTGACATTACTTACTAACTATCTATATTGGTGTATTGAAATGAACAGTTAACGTGTAACTCTTTGATCAGTCTTACATGCCTAGACCTGGTAATCTGAGTAACCACTTTGAAGATAACAATATGTAATATAACAACCATTGTTAATTTCCAATCACCTTGTTTTGAAATTCTGTATCATTTTTATTGCTTTTATGTTATTTTGTTTACATCTTTGTTTTAGTTTTTTTCTCTTTAAAATAAAAAAAAAATCTCTTTTCAAATTCCCTTGAAATGTCACCTTTACATTTACTAGTGATTGTTTATCACATGATCTCTTCTGAGGCCACTTTGATTCACTTGTCATTCTATACTTGTCAGCATCACACTGGCATAAATGTTATATCTTTAGAATACAATTTAATACGTAGACCGCTCCCGTTCACCTCCCACAACTGTTTTCTTTTTTCAAAAATTTTTTCCATTACCCTCATTTATTCTTCCAGCTGAAATCTGTTCTCTATTTTAAATCAGTCCTCTGTAAAATAGCAGATACAAATGAGAAAGAAATTTGAAAGCCAGATTAAGGCAAGATAAAATTTATAGCTACATCATATTTACAAGCTGAGCTGATGATTTTATTTAGAGATGTCTCTCTTTATCTAGATATAAACTATAATTAATTATCCTCTATTGATGTATACTAGAATCAATTACCCATTACACATATTACTATAGTAGACTAGCATAATAAATATTAGTAAAAATGTTACCAGAACTATATCATTTCAGTTAGTATCTCTGAGACCTTGCCTTTAACTTTTCACCAATGCCATCAAAGAAAAGTTAAGGAAAATAATCATTAAATCTCTCTCCCCTCTACTCTTCTTTTTCCCCTCTCCCCTCCCAATGTCTCTCTTTCCCTTTTGCAAAGGTAATGCAAATCCAAAAATTGCTTATTGATAGAGCCAGAGACCCCTGAATGGTGTATAATCTTCCTGCTAGAAAGTATTCCCCCCCATCAAGACCATACTCATAAGTGAAATAAACCAGACTCACAAGTGTACACATCATGTTGGGTTCCTATTGTGAGAAGCTGAAAGAGTAAATAAGATCCAAAATGTCTGATAGATATTGTAAAATGAGAAGAAACTGTTCAAAAGGAAAGAGGAACTGGAATGGGGGAAAGGAGAAAAGAAGAAAGGGAAAAGAATATATATGTACACACACACACAAAATAGTTAAGCATTATGCTACTAATTTCTCTTAGTTCATTGAAAAGAAAGGTTTGTGCTAATATCGTTTGGACAATTAAATGCCAATATCTTGTACTCTGAGTAACTAATTAAAGATAACAATATGCAATGTATTAACCACTGTTACTGTCTTATTATCATGTTTAGAAATCTTTTCTCTTTACAACAAAAAAATGAAGAAAGAAAGAAGGAAAGAAAAAAAAATATTCCCTCCCAAAAAAGTAAAGGACTATATCAAGCATTTCTTTATACACTTTTCTTTAGAATTAACGAAATCCAAAATATGAGAATAAGCAGTAAAACTTCAACTGAAAAAGCACTGCCTGTGGTAAAATAGTGGGGCTGAATCTGAAGAGACCATCTGTCAGTGGTCCTGGGCACCCACCAGGGGAAGAATGTCTTCTACAACACCCTGCGGCCAATAGACATTTTTCTTCTTTTATAAACAGGCAAATCTCTGACTACCACCCAACTGTTGGAAGGAGAAACCTAAAAATAGAAATTAGAAATTTTTCAACAAAATGACACTAAATTTGCTTGAAGGCAAATGATCTGTGAGCCAAAATTACAACTCCAGGAATAATCGCTGATATATTTATTGACATTACAATAGTGGGTGTTCCACGCTAGTCTTTTCTATGAGAAGAAATGCAACCGTCACCATCAACATGAGCAAAATGAGAAACGTAAAGAAGGCCTTTACATCAGGCCTCTTCCCTGAGGAACTTACCCTCTAACTGACTGGTCAGAGCGCATAGGAGGTCATGCGAAATCAAGGCCAAACAAGTATCAGAAAAAATAAACCCTCACTGTATGTTTTGGGAGCCAGTTCCTTCATGGCTCCAGTTTGCTTCCTACTCTTTATTTTCCTTTTGCCTGAGTGTTCTGAGTTTTTTGTTTATTAATTTTGCCAAATGGTGAGCATCTTGTTCGGGTACTTTCTCTTAGAGATGAGGTAGAGATACTGCGAGGGAGTACAGGGAAGCGGTTAGGTGCTGGAGCACAAACAGCTCCTCCAGCGATATCTGACCCTGGCTCAGAGTCAAGGCTTAAGCCTGGAGCCTGCTGTGCCTTCTTCTCCGTCATCCCTCTTACCCACATCATATTCATTGGCAGTATCGTATTCACTTGGCAAATATTAACCCTACTGCTCTAAACTCAGTTGTGAAAAACTGCATTAAAATGGAAATAAACCAAGTACTTTAAAATATTTAACGTCAAACATGAAAATGTTGCAATACATCTTTTCAGGACATTCCCTTGTCTAATTTGCTTTTGATTACCATCTTACTATTTGTAAAAGGATTTGTATTCCTATAATGTGCCTGACATCCACACGGTCCACCACCACTATCAGATGAAAACCCTAACCGTTCCCTAGTCCTCTGCCTACTAAAATAGTGCTGTTTACTCAGGCATCTCTCAGCAGGAAACAGGCCTTCCTACAGCAGGAAGCACAGGAAAGAGCACTAGAGACAGCAATCCCAGCAGCTTTTTTGCCAGAAAGGACAAAATGGCTCTTCTGGCAACTCCTGACTCAGGAAATCACTGAATTAAGTAGTCAATCTGCAGAGTAATTTAGCATGTCATCTGCTTCCTGGCAACAGATATTTGGAAGCATTTATATTTTAATTCAACTCTGTCATCGTAAGGATTCCAGCTACTTTTCTCTATGGACCTCAAGGTCAAAGATGTTTCTGATTCTACAAGGCCAGTTCTTTTAGCATCCTCCTCCCTTTTAGGCCCCAAAGGTCCTGACTCCCCTTTGATTTCTGTCTGGGTCAACCAAACCCTTGTCTTCAGAGCTAAATATAAGTCACATGTGGGTGGGGAGAGGCCCTTGCAGTGGCTCCCTTGGAAAATATACTAGCAGGGGTGCAGAAGAATGAAGAAGCAATTGTACACCCAAGAGTTGCAATAGCATTGCTCTCTCTGGGGGAGAGGGAATCAGACAGGAGGTCACTAATTTGAGTCTCATTCCTGCTTTGTCATGGATTTCTTTGTATGCTGCTGTACAGTCTCCCTCCCCCTCTTCCATTTCTCTATTTTAAAAGTGACCATAACAAATACCATTTGTCTTCCTCATTTGCAGACAGTAAAGATGGGCAATCCTATAAGTCAGGAGTAGCCCTCGTCTCGTACACTGGGGAGATCTGTGAACATATGCATGGGTGATAAGAATTCTGTATAAAATAGTGCAGTTTCTTACATCTGGTAAACATGTGTCCACAAAATACCTGAAAGTAAAACATGTAAACTATATACAAAAGGACCATGCAACTCTAATACATTTGTGCGTTGCTGCCCCTTGGGGAGAATTGTGAATATTCTAAGTGAGAGTAATACGCATTGGGAAGTTAATGATTTTTATGGGTGGGCAGCAGTCACTTTGCTTCTCTCTTGACGGAACTCTCTATGGCTTTAGCAACAGGGACAAGAAAAACCTGTCCTGGCATCCTGAGTAGAAGAAGAGAAATGTCAACTAACTAGCCAAGATGCATTGCACATGGAATCTCCCAGGGGTCAAGTCCCATATCTGCCGGTAAAACCTAAAATGAGCTTTTCATATGTGTTACAGGCTATGGTCTCACAACAACTCTAGGGTCAACAACTCTTATATTAAGATTTAAATTCCAAGATAACTGTAAGAGTTATCCTTATTATACAGACAATTAAAATGAGGCTTAAGGAGGTTAAGCATATTTCCATAGTTCATAGAGGTCCTAAGGGGTGGAGTTTGGGTTTTTAATGTTTGACCTCAAATTCTATCTTCCTTCTATTACATTACACCATCATCCAAGTGCTGTATATGTTACTGTCTACGTGCCTCAGTTTTTTAGTGTGTAAGTTGGAGACCTAACTTTGGAGACCAAGAAAATCAAAGGAAATTACATAGGTTCCAGCACTAAATTATAGCCATGCAATTTGCTATTCTGATAGTAATTTCATGTTCACCTCTTCTATCACTAGTCTCCTTATTACAAATATATGTGAAAAGTTTATATTTGGCCA